ATATTCAAAAGAATCCCCGACGATTCTGTGTACACCGAGACTGATATGCAAAAATACAAAAGTATACTATTGGCGACGAATGCTCACAGACGCGGGTACCTCCCGCAAAATCCGATACTCGGTAACAAGGGACACAAATATAAACATATAATCGCGCCCCTAGTATCACATGCGTCGAGCGATAAAGTGGCCGGAAAAGGTTTATATGCATCTCAAGCTATGATGACCTTAAATGACAACAATATCGATTACGTGCATTGGGATGATCCCAACGAGCTGGTGGATCGTTTGCGATTGCTTGATGCTTCGCTAAGCCGGCAACAACGCTCATGACAACGAAATTTTATCGATTATCGAAGAACTCCGCGAAGCTGGTCTTATTATAAATTAAACAGCGCTGCACTGACACGAGTCAGTCAGTCAGTCAATCGTCAGCCAATCGAGAGCATCGACACAGCTTGCTCCGAAATGTCGACACATAAGTTTGAAGTATTGCCAGACAGCAATAGTTCTCCGATCGAAGCGCATCAATGGAATGAACATGTTGAAGATTACATACATGAAAATGCTCTTTGTTTAAACGCTGCCAAAGTTTTCGACGCAAAGTCGCGCAAGATACAACATGTAGCGCAACCTGAAGCCGACAGTGACGTTGCAACCAAACAATACGTGGAAGAATGTGTTGCAGGTGTCAGATATCATTTAAACAACGTTGCAACCAAACGATATGTACATGAAAATGCCCTTTGTCTAACCGCCAATAGTAAAGGTCGTGATGGCAAATATTTCGATGCAGAAATGCATGCGATACATAATGTACCACAGCCGGAAGCCTTCGATGACGCTGCGCACAAATATTATGTGGATGAGAGTATAAAGTCTGTAAAACTTATGTTGCATGAAGGTAACGTTGAGAAGAAACAGTATATCGATGAGAATATAAATGCTGTAAAGCTTCTACTGCATGAGAGTAACGTTGAGATGAAGCAGTATGTAGATGAGAATGTTAAAAAATTGAAGGATTGGTTGGAAGACTACCGGAAAAAAAACATACAGAGCATAAATAGCATTCATGAGAACATAGACCAAATTTTAGACTGGACACGCTCAGAGATAAAGAAATCAAGGAAAATATAAAAGTAGAATATATTTTTACCTGTGTGTCCCCTTCGCTTTCGAACTCGAAAAGTTAAGTTGGGTTTTGTTACAACGAATTGGAGATCGCAGGGAAGAGAAAAGAGGTGGGGAGAAAGGAATATACAACATTTTTATAAAATAAATTCACATTTTATTTTTGAAGTTACATTCGTAGTTTCGCAAACACTCGTAGCATTCTGATTCTGTTATAATCTCGTGTATAATTTCATTTAAATGAATCGTAGTCAATTCACGGAATACAATATTAAAATATGTGTCTAAAAATTGTAAATTTTTCATTTGCCGTCGTACATTTTCCTCGATTTCGCGATATTTATCAACGAGCGTCCGTTTTACGAAATCTTCGTTTACACCTTCCTTCGTGGGATTAAGTTCTATTTCGCCTACTAAAATATATTTGCAATTACTCACAAGAGCGGCAACCGCTTGTAAATATTCGTATCTAGCATCGATACATTTTGTGACAGTTTGCAGACCATCGAAAGATGTCTTCTGCATTATAATATTCTCCGTATACAGCTTATGCTTCTTCAGCGGCGGTTGCTTCAGATGCGTAGACTCCTCCGATGTCTTCTTCGCAGGTCCACTCTCGTCCAGCATTTTCCCTCGCTGACTCACCATTACAGCTCGTGCACCGTACGCTGAGGTAAAGTTGATGGTGATATTGTTGATGATGATAGGGGTTGGCGTATTCTTATTTTCCCCACACAAATAAGAATTTGCAGAGGGTATAATATCTTTAAACTTCTCCCACGTATTCAAATCAAGGAGAATTCCTGAAGACGTGTTCCCCATGATCCTGATCGTTGGCTCAAATGGACCCATGTCGTACGTGGTGCGCAATCCAACCTGCATCCTCTTAGTGTCCGAATTGTTAAGCGCGTACGTCGTACATAGAAGCATGTTACGGACGTTTCCCACTTCTGTAGAGAGACTGCTCGTCTTCTTCGACGTCTTCTTGAGAGCGGTGTCCACGTTAGCGCCGAACATTTTTCTTCCAAGAACTTGTTAATAACTTGTAAAGAATTTGTAATAACGAGAACTAGCTATGCTACAAGTAGGAGCAATGAAGCTTGAATGCTTCGCCAGTCTCAACACCGTATGTCTTTCCCCGTAGAGAATAGAGAAAGTAGTGGGAATGGTGATGCGCAGACGTAAAAGGTCTACAACTACTTATCTTTTTCAAAATGATAAGATATAGTTTTTATATTTACTTAGAATGGAGAGATAGACTACTGTATCAATACCATAATTTTAGACTGGACATGCTCAGAGATAAAGAAATCAGGGGAAATTTAAAAGTAGAATATTACAGTTAAATTGACATATAGTATCAACATGGCGAGAGACGGATCATCACAAGCTGCAATGGCGAAGCAATCATCAAAATTTAACAAAAAGAAGAAAAGTTCAGAGAAGCAGCTCATCGGTAACGAAAAGCATCGGTTAGTGGAGGAGTTGCACGCTCCAGCGAGCCAGATATTTTCCCCGTAGACGCGTCATAGTGCGCGGATACGATGATCTTTGGCAAGCTGACTTGGTAGAGATGCGTCCTTACTCGTGATTCAATAGAGGCTACCACTATATACTCACTATTATCGATGTGTTGAGCAAATATGCGTGGGCTGTACCGATGCCGATACCGAAGAGCAAGAGCGGTAAAGAAGCAGTGGCAGTGTTCGCCAGGATATTTCAAGAATCTGGAAGATGTCCGAAAAATTTGCAAACGGACCAGGGAAAAGAATTTTATAATGCGGATCTGCAGAAACTCCTTAAAAAACACGGTATCAATCATTATTCTACGTACTCGGTAATGAAGACATCTGTTGTGGAACGATTCAACCGCACGTTAAAGAACGACATGTGGAAAATGTTTACGTTGAATGGAACATACAAATGGATCGACTCGTTACCACACCTTATCATGGAGTACAACACACGGAAACATCGAACTATCGGCATACGTCCTATCGACGTGACACCCGAAATCGCTGATAAGCTCCTACACACAGTCTACAACAACGTAAAGATCGCTGCGCGAGATTCAAAGTGGGTGATCTGGAACGCGTGAGCAAATTCAAAACCATCTTTGAAAAAGGCTATACACCGAATTGGACAACCGAAGTGTTTAAAATCGTCAAAGTGCAGACAACTAATCCAGCGACCTATCTGCTCGAGGATTCTCGCGGAAAGTCTATTGCCGGAGGATTTTACGAATACGAACTGCATCGCGCTGCTAATCCTGACGTTTATTTCGTGGAAAAGGTGTTGCGAAAAAGCGGCGACAAGGTTTTAGTGAAATGGTTGGGATTTGATAATTCGCACAACTCTTGGATACACAAAGAAAATGTATTGTAACCAATTCTTTGTTATAAACATTTTTTTATTACAATATCCTATTATAAACAGCTTGTAATAAACCATCTTTTATTATAGTTAATATATAGTTATATATAGTTAACAATATTTCTTACAAACAAATATATGTACAATGATCGCTTTTCATTTTACAATATACATGTACGAGGGCTGTCCGATAAGTACTTAGCCTCACCGCCCGATGGCGCCACTATCGCAAGAGAAATTTACTATCGTGTAGTACATTCTCGTAGAAGGCTACTGTCGAAATTTCAGCCGAATCGGACTCGTAGTTTTGTTTTGACCGTGTGTGGAAGCGGGCGTGTTCGCGGATTTTAGAAAAATGGAAAAAGAGCAATATCGGTCGGTGATTTGATTCTTGTTTTTGGAAGGGAAATCGCGCAGCGAAATCAAAGAGCGCTTGGACGGATGCTGTGTACGGTGACTCTTCTCCTTCGATGGCGACCGTCAAAAATTGGTTTAACGAGTTTCAACGTGGTCGCACGTCGGTTTTTGATGAGCCATACCCAAGTGCCCCGAAAACGACTACCACGGAGGATAACATGACAAAAATCCACGATCTCGTATTGGCAGACCGCCGATTGAAGGTGCGCGAGATAGCTGAGACAGTAGGCATCTCAAAAGACCGCGTGGGTCATATCCTGCATGAAATTTTGAGCATGAGAAAGCTGTCGGCGCGATGGGTGCCGCGTTTGCTCACTCCGGACAACAAGCACAACCGTGAGACCACTTCAGAGCAGTGTTTGACGCTGTTTAAGCGCAATCCGAAGGAGTTTCTGCGTCGTTTCGTGACCGTCGACGAAACATGGATCCACTGGTACACATCAGAGACCAAGGAACAGTCGAAACAGTGGACTTCACCCGGCGAACGTGCTCCGAAGAAGGCGAAGACTGTCCTATCGACCGGAAAGGTGATGGCCACCGTTTTCTGGGATTCACAAGGTGTGATCTACATCGACTACCTGGAGAAGGGCAAAACGGTCACAGGGCTGTACTATGCCGAATTATTGGCCCGATTCGACGCCGAATTGCAGAAAAACGGCCCAATTTGGCGAAGAAAAAAGTGCTCTTCCACCATGACAACCCACCGGCTCACACCTCCGCCCTCGCCACGGTCAAATTGGTCGAATTGGGCTACGAACTGCTGCCCCATCCACCGTATTCTCCAGATTTGGCCCCGTGCGACTTCTTTTTGTTTCCAAACTTGAAAAAGTTACTCGCCGGGCAGAAATTTGAGTCGAATGAGGAGGTCATCGCCGCCACGGAGGCCTACTTTGCAGACCTCGAGAAAACGTATTTTTCAGACGGGTTAAAGAAGTTGGAGCATCGCTGGGTCAAGTGTATCGAGCTAAAAGGAGACTATGTTGAGAAATAAATCGCCACTTTTCCAAAATTTTCGTTTTTCTTCTGTAGGCTAAGTACTTATCGGACCACCCTCGTATGCACAATGATCGCTTTTTAGTTTACAATTGTATCCTGTAATGTCCCCATGGTAAAGTGTCTGTTGAGTTCGGTACGATATACCGCTTGTCATCATACGGACTCAGAGCAGTTTTCAGTTCGGACACGGTGTAGACTTTGTGCATTTTGGATCGTATGCATGACTGACGACGTTGCTTTTCGACCTCATCTCTCAGACACTGCATATAATCATCAAACGTTATAGTTCGCGCTACGACATTGGTCTTCACACCTTCGTATCATTTTTGCTGTCTACCTTTAGCGCGTACATCTTTGCTCTGAGCCCGACGAATTCCGTCATAATCGCTCCGTTATTTTCATCTTTCATCAGACCTGGTACCTTTTTGTTGACAAGCGGTATACCGTACGCATTATCAGTGGGATAATCACTCGTATCAAACTTAGAAATATCACGTTTCATGTGCTCGAAAATATCATCGCATTGGATATGGTAAATTAAATTGTCAGTATCGGTGTACATTACTTTACATCTGTTCTGATACAGGGGAGACATGTACTCGTGATGAAATTCGTACAAGCAGATCTTGGATATGTCAAGGATACATATACCCACATAGATCGGCTTGTTGAATTTCACCTCAAGTTTACGTAGCTCAACGGCGATTAAATTTTCCGAAAAGACACTTCTGCTATGAAAATTTGGTCTCGCAATCATTGCCTCAGCACCGTATCGTCCATCCCATTTTGTCAATAGTTTTACGTCTACGTGATTGCGAACATTTTCCATAGTTTTACCGAACACCGCGTTGTTTATCAATTTGTACAAATTTTTCTCGAAATCGTTTGTCGCGTGTCTTCTAAACTGCGTATTAAGTTCGATATAATCGTGGAGCCATGGAGATTGAGCAAATTTGAGTATGCGGTGTATCTTTCCAATACGAAGACCGTGATGCACTGCTGCAGGTTGCGATAATGAATCACATAACGCTGCTTATCGCATAAGGTTGCGAGAAGCTTGTCCTGCTTTTTGTTTGGCGGTTTGCCCCGTGTCGGACAGAACGGTAGGTCAGTGTGCGCGTCGTGCAGATGTTGCGGATACTCTAAGTCAACCTCCAGAATGTAACCTATAGGTGAATCTAGTGCGATTGATGATACGTCGAAATTCGATACATCATCGACCCATCGAAATTCGGCGTATGGCAACTGTTGACACATTGCCCAACCATACAAGTTATTTACATCGAAGTACATCAAGTATGATGATGGTTGCAATGGATCGTAAGACTGCATGTACTTGTTATTGGCTTTTGCATATCTACCGGAACATTGACTGAGGCCACTGCGAATACCGCGCTCGATGAACATGACCATATCGATATCAGTGAGCAGTTCGAAATTAACGCCCGTATGCTTCAACATAGCATCCCACGTAAAACCAGGCAAAGTGTAATAATACGCGGGATTTAACCCATAACTTTTGATACAACTATTGCGGAAATTTTCAAAAATATCGGCCAACAACAAGACATCAATCTTCAGATACAAGTCGCTATATTCACCTAAGGTTTGAATGGCGAACCGTTGCCAGATGTTCGTGGCGTGCGCGTAATCGCTCTCAGATACCGTGTCACCCATCAACGAACTGTAAAATGACTCGCGCGGCGGTAAACACCGATCCTGCAGCTTGTCCGCGCAATCAAGGAATTCGTACAGAAAGACCACCTTTCGCGTCAATAAATCAAAATCCTTGTCGGACAAATTTGAAAATTCGGACCGAACAATTTTTAATTTGTCGTTGTCGAGAAAAGACGCCAATTTATCGAGACTACTACTGAGAAATTTGTACGAACCGCAATTGTATATAATTTTTCCATTTATTCTTACTATCCATCATGTTTCCTACAGTCTTTATAAATGAAATATATTTCTCTTTGGTTATCGGTAGTATAGTGATTGAACCTTCGAACATGGTTGCTATATCTTTGATGATAAAGTGTGAATCATAACCGGATAAGTTGTGAAAGACCACGGGAATGCAATAACTGTCTTGATAATTTAGATTGCAATTGGAATGCGCGGGACCACTGTACCGTCCAGTCAGGTGGCAATGATCGGGCACGCGTGTATCATCCTTTGCGAATGATTTCTCGCACACATGGCACAGCATAGCATTTTGAAATGTCTCCCACTGTTCTTTCGACAAAGTTTCCATGGGGACATTTGCGGACAAAATATCCTTTACACGATGTGCCAGTTCTTCAAGTTCTTTGACAAACCATGAGATGCAATCCCGATCGCGACGACATCGATACGCGGATAATGACTCGTCGTAGGAACGTAATATGCTATACTAAATACGCTATGATGTTGATACGCATACGAACTCGTTTGTTCTTCCCTCGGTGTCTTCTCCAGGATGCGTTCCAAGTCGGCGTAAACTATAAACGGGATCCGCTCCTTCCTGCAGTAGTTGGTGAAGCTGAGCCATTTGTTGTCATCGTTTGGCAAGATGATGGCACAGTTATTCATTTTTTGACAGTCGACGGTATGGTTCTCCAGCTTCTCGCTCGAGCTGAAGTAATGTAGACATCTGGAAAAACATTATTTGTTATTAGTATATTTCACATTATACATTGCGTTCTTTGTGTATACTTACCGGTAGCAAATATGTTTTTTATGTTCCTTTTTGCTCAGTTGTGAGCTGACGAGTCGGGACAAATTCTTGATCCACGCGAAGTGCCCAGCGTTATCATCATCTCGCGGATCTGGGATATGCAGCAGGTTGACATGCTTCTCCATTTTCTGTTCCGTAAGACGTATAGGTGCGACCACGTTTCCTTCTTTCTTTGTCGCGTTGTCATATCTCTTTTCCACACTATAAATGTTGACCGAGATATCGTTCAACCGTTCAAACTTTTTAATTTGATTTATGCGCATTGGAAATTCAATGTCCTGCATATTCAAAACCGATGTATAGTGTGGGTACGAAGATTGACGATCTGCGTGTTTGTCGGCTGGACATAACGCTGCAACCACTGCCCATGCGAAACATACATTGTCCATAGATTGCACGTTGATTATAGCCCGCTTCATTTTTATTTCGCGCGGTAACTCGATATGACATCCCGAATGTAATGGATTGTACTTGTTAACATTAACGGTCAGATTGAGTATGCGCGAGAGTGCCCACCCGCTATCTCGTTCCTGAAATTCTTCCATGGACGCTAAGGTGGGTTCGATAACACGCATCGCGAACCAATTGTCTAGATCGGATGTGAAAAAAAGTTCAACGTTCCTCGTATTAATGCTCTTGTTCGCGCGTTTATCACCTGCCACAAATTCACCGTTGAACACAGTATTCACTTTTATGCTACCATGTCTCTTCATAACGCTTCGCACATACTCGAGCACGATATTCTTCACATCTTGGAGAAATCGAAGAGGGTCGATATAGTCTGTATTTACAATCGCCCCGGTTGATATGCGACTATTGAACGCTGTATCGATTTCTCGCCAAACAAGTGTCGAATGTCCAGCTCCTGCGTATACAAAACGTCTGCGCAAAGTATTTTTTAAACCCTTGAGTTGCGCTATACGAGCAACCATCGAGTGCGCTGAACCAACCGATAGTCGTGGTTGTTTGGCTCGGCTATGCTGTTCCAACGACTCGAGACACTCGTCGCACTTTTGTTCCCATGCGAGGTATTCGTCTAGCGAGCCTAATTGAGCGGCCTGGTTCTGCAGTTCACGTTCTACGGTTGATAATGATGATAATGATGATTCTGCCATTTTTCTAGCAAAACGTTGTAAACACACTGTAACTGCGCGCTCTGCTCGTCTTCGACTAAACTATAGAATATTCTGCTTTGAACATTTTATAGCCCTTAACTCTTTCACAAATACATGCCATTATCAAAATTCGGGAAACTTCCTCGACGAACTATTAAACACATTCCTGAGTCTTAAACTCATATCAACTCGTTGTGGACTTTGCCTAAGTGCATGCCTTTCTTTATCTGATACAATAATAGACTTATAGACCTATGATTGGTATCAGCAGTCTAACGTCCACTCTGTTTGTCTTCGACTAAATTATAGAATGTTCTGATTTGAACTTTTTTATAGCTCTTCTGTCTTCCACATGCGCACACACACACACACACACACATATCGTTATTACATTCTTCCTGCTTCTTTTTATCTTGTATAGTGTATTGGATGAAGTTTTTGTACCGTATATAAGAATTCTGTTTAAATATGTCATATTAGTGCATACATATTGGACACAGATTACATGGTGTTATTTGGTAGACGGGGTTTCTACAGTTTGAACAAAATACACCATCAATCACATAGTGTCTTTCGGTGATGTGTTTGCGCACTGCAAATATTTCTGTAACTGTATCGCGAACGCCATCAACAAAACATGATGTGCAGAATCGTAAATTGTCTCCAGAATTATATGAAAAATAAATGCAACACACTTTTGTTTGGCCACTCAAAGTATTAATTTCTGAAACTTCCAATTTCTTCACTTTTTCATTCACTAATTGATTACTATTGTCACTATCATAATTACTATCATCCGTGAGTATATGATTTATATCTTCTTCGTCTTCTATTTCTTCGTTTTCTATTTCTTCGTCTTCTACTTCTTCGTCTTCTATTTCTTCGTTTTCTATTTCTTCGTCTTCTACTTCTTCATGCTCTATGTTTTCACGATTCATACTGAAAGAGCTCTAACTGGTAAATACAAACAAAATTAAATCTATATGCTCCACTTTTGCCACTCTTTTCGTTATTATAACTCCCGGAAAAACCTAGCCAAAATAGTCATATCTTTACATGATGCAGCACTAAATGCTTCACAGGCATCCTATGATAGATATGCATACATTTCTTTATCTGATACCACAATAGTACTTGTAGACCTACGATTTGGTATCAGCAGTCTGGGAGGTCGACGGCTGACAAAAATATTTTGGTCAAAATGTGATATTATAATACACAGCACCATTATATTGCAGCGTTTACAAATTGTAATAAAAGTATAAATAAATTACTTTGTTATATATTATGATACATCTTTTTTACTTTAGACCAGATCCTTTCTTCCAACTTCCCCTTATCCCCTTTCTTAGGATTTTTTATGTTAATTATGTTAATTATATTGATAAAAATACCTATAGATGTTTTGATAGACGTTCGATAGACGTTCGTGAGACGTTCAATAGACGTTCGAGAGACGTTGGAGAGATGTTCGATATGTAACTATTTTGGTCAAATCATACTAGTTATTTTTATATAAACATGTATATAATTTCAGTTCTCTGTATATATTTCAGTTTGATAATTACGAGGGACATTTAAAACACATTATATAACATTTTTTCTCGTGACGTAGGCATGACATCACGGTCACCATCTTGCGTGACACGTCCCACCACATTTTTTCTCGTGACGTATGCGTTGACGTCCCACCATGAGTTCCCCTTCCCCGCGCAACGTCATACCCCGCGCCCTGAGTTCCCCGCTTCCCCCCGCGCCCTCTCTCAGCGCTTTCTGGGTTAGAACCGGCCATAGCTATTCTACTATCAAGTGTCCATTTTGCACGCGAGTGCGCATAATTTCGCGAGCTATTGCCCGAATGTCGCACTTGCGTACACAGCGAATGGTTAGGACGCTCGCGAGGGTGATTATTGCAACGAGGAAGAACAANGTCAACGTCGACAAGTACGACTGACGGAACCAATGTCGTGCCACGCGAACGATATTGCAATCTACTGGAGCCGCCTACCGACGGATCAGCGAATGAATTTGTGCACTTTTTGCGCAATTTGAACGAACCAAACGCATCGCGCTGACACAATTGATCGAGCGCGTTGATGACGCCGTAACGTTTTTTCGATCAATGTTACATATATATATTTTTTTTCGTTTGTGCAATAAATTGACAATAAAGGAGCGTCTCTGTACTACACAGAATGACAGTCTGTTTATCGTTTCTCTTATTATCCAAAAAAACAATCACCATATCCATACATGTCTATATAGCGCCGGCGTCATCCTTCAGATAATGCGCAATATTGCGCATCAGCAACGAATCGAGCATGTAGAGATCGCCGTGCGTGACGCGACACATTTGCGTGACCACTTGAGTCCGCTGGCAAAGTACGAGCTCTTGGGCACGTGTTTGCTCACAATTACAAAATCATCGAGATATCGCTGATAATCGCGTTCCTGGTCCGGCGAGCATTCGCGAAAGAAGTCGGACTGCGGTGTCGTACCCAGGGACTGATTCTTCACGGTGCGCTCGTGCAGTGCAACTAGATCGCGGGGCGATCCTTTCGCGCCAGAGTGCACCATGATCCAGTTTTCCAGACACAATGATCTCTGGTCCGACAGCACGATCGAGCGATCGGGCGCGTCGATCGAGCGACGAAACAGAAAGAGTCTCACGCGGTCGATGAATCGCGCGCCATTCGCACCGCCGCCGAGTTTGACGGCTCGCACGTACACCAGATCGAGCACCGGTCGTTGCCGCCACACGGATTCGCACAGTAATCGCTCGTATCGACAAACAACGTGGTCGTTGTCGCCACGTGTCGGCTAGAACGTGCTCGTAATCATCGTACCACGAGCCAAACAACGCGCGAGCGCGACGACGCGCGCCTTCGTCGCGCCACAACGTTCAGCCGACCGTGCAGTAGAATAGTGGCGTCGCGCGGGAATACGTCGTCATTGTCCGTAGACGACGACGCGTCGTCTTTTTCTTCTTCTATCGGGGAGGGCGCGTCGTCGTGTCAACGTCGCGACAGCGCGCGTCTCGTCGATCGTACATTACTGTAACGATCACTGTAACGATTCAGTCTTTGGAACCATCGATCACTGTCGTTGCTTATCGCATCGGTCGTTCCGTCGATCGATAGTGCCGGCGTTATCGCGTCCTCTTCGACGCTACTATCGTCGTCGCGATCGTACCACGTGGATAATGTGAACACGTGACTCACGGTCCGCTATCGTCTCTCATCGTTCGTTATCGCGACATTTCGCGAGGGGGTGCGAAGAATTTCACGCTCTTTTATAGGCACGCGCACGCTCGCATTGACAGTAGTACTCGCTGCGAAGTAACGAAGCAACGATGGACATAGACGGCCAGGGCGAGTATCTGTTTCTCGATGTGGATTGCCTCGAATGCAAACGCATTGCTCAACCGGGTGAGATGAATCGTACGCACATTCCTTGCTCCGACGACACGGTTGACCGGTGGCGTTTGAGATTGTACGAAGTTACGCGTCGAGCAATGATTGCTACAGACATGCCGATCGTATGGATCACATCACCGCCATTGAACGGACCGCAACATGGATTTCATCTTTACGTGCCCGATAAGTACAAACAATTTTGCCTCTGCTGGCACATGGCCGTATGTCGGCGTCCCTGACGGATCGTTAAACGCGCACGTATGCGGCGACGATGCCTGTTTGATGTACGACGCGAATTCGTTTGGATATCGTGAAAAAGCGATCGAAAGCAATTCAGCGTACTCGTGCATCGCTATGATCATCATCGCAGTAACGCCCTGTCACACTGGGGATGGCGGTCCGATCTAATACAGTTTTACCTGTATCATTATCACAACGAAACGATGAAGTATCGTCGCCACCTTGTTACCGACAGTCTGACCAGATTGTTCGAACGATTGATGGACGAGCGCCACGGTTGGTTCGACGTTGACGATTTGATCGATGCGGTCGAGAAATGCGTGCGTATGGGGAATAGGCGAGAAGGTGCTAAATTGCGGCATGACGAGCGGTGAATCGCGTGTACGAGAAGTTTTTCTGCGCTGTAAA